GACACACACACATACACACACACACACACAGACACACTTTATACTGACGCACACATACATGCGTACGTACTCCCTCTCTCTCTCTCTCTCTCTCTCTCTGTCTCTCTGTCTCTCTCTCTCTCTCTCTCTCATTATTCACCCCCCCTTCCTTTGAGACATCGGTCTTCTACATTCTCTTTACGGTTAACATGTCTGGGACAAGGAAACAACCCAGTGGCCAACCTTTTAAAAGTCGTTGTAATTGTTGTCAATAGATTTAACGTCCCTTTCAACACTATTAGGTTACATAAGAGGCTGGACCTCCGAATTTAACGTCCATCTCAGACAGGGCCAAGCCAAAAGGACGGAGAGCCTTCAAATACATGAACCCTCCATAGCAACCAAAGTTTAAAAAAACGTCCGATTGGGGATTCGATCTAGGGACATATTCCATTCTGTAACCCAGCATGCTAGTAATGATACCAGCTGAGCTAATGAAACGCCCATTAAAGCCGGGAACGCGATACTGTTTATCATTATGTGAAAACATGCGTTCATTGACCACTTGACGATTTGAGAGTCGAATCGAGGACAAAAATAGATATATAGATAGCATTTGTATAGCGCAATCCCCGCTCAACAGCAAGCTCTATGCGCTTCACAATCTATACTAATACCCCAGCAGACCTGGGAGCATTCTGAAACAAACTCAACTTCCTGGGAAGCATACAGTGCAAGCAGTTATTTATAGGCGCTAAAACACTAACATACTGAAGAGTTCTGCCTATGGCCGGGCACCGTTTTCCACCTGGGTGAAGAGAGGAAAATTCGTGTAAAGTGCCTTTCCCAAGGACACAACATCGGGCCCGCGGCTCGAACCCCCGACTCGGCAACCTCACGATTACGAGTCCGGACGCCTAACCACTAGGCCACGGACGCCACATGAGTGAACAATACATGATAGAGACAGATTTGTGGTCGTGATTGCACACCACACATCCGCTTGACACCCTGTCTCTCCATCCCCGGCATTTTGTCTACGTCAATCTTCTTTTAGACAGAAGAACACAGCGCACAGTTTTTACAAACGGGCTTTTCCTTGGACAGCAAAGACGTCACTGGATATCCAGAAGTAGACTTTTCTTTTGAAAGAAAAGACAAGGAGTGGTAGAGGGAAAATTATTACTTTTGTCCCCGGAACGTAAATTTGAAAGCCTTGTTAAATAGAATAGCTACCATCTTATCCCCGTCTTTCCCCTTCACGTATTTGCCAGATGCATCATTTCCTGTATTTAAATAAAACTAGCAATATTTAATCTAACATCTATTTTATCAAGACAAACCTATTTTTATTTATTTATTTACAATCAGATTTCACCTACGAATCATCTCCAACCGTTGGCCACAATGTCGTCTGCCAGCACTGACGTGGGTCCCTTCACCGGCCGGCCAATGTCCGAGCTCCTTCCCCTCATGTCCAACATCGCGGGCGAGAGAGTGGACGGCATCTTCTACCAGTACTTTGGCTTCAACGAGCCCATCGAGCCTCACTTCCAGCACACCATCCGGAACCTGGAGATCCGGGATGATGACATCATCACACTCGGCTTCCCCAGGTCCGGCAACCACTTCGCCTTTGAGGTGGTCAACATGGTGCAGAAGCAGTCCACGGAGTACGTGAAGAGTCACATGATCGACAACGTTCTGGAGCTGAGGAAAGTGGACACATATGAGAGCTACAGGCAGGAGCCGTCGCCCAGGAACCTGACGATCAACTTCCAGGTGCGGAAAATCCCGCAGCAGGCGGTTGAGAAGCGAACCAAGATCGTCTACCTCTTACGCAACCCGAAAGACGCGCTGACCTCGTTTTACAAACACTGGATCAAACTGCAGGCGGACGACATGGGCTTCAGGGGGACGTGGGAAGAATTTCTGGACCTCTCCGTCTCCGGCCAGTTCACCTATGGAAGCTGGTTCGATCACGTGCTCTGTATGGAGCGGTACATGGCTGACCACCCAGACACTCCCGTACACGTACACTTGTTCGAGGAGATGGTGTCCGAACCCCTGCCAACTGTCAAAAAACTCTGCAAATTCCTGGGCACGTCGGAGGAACTGGCCCCGAAAATTGCTGAGGTAACAGATTTCGGTTACATGAAAAAGAACTCAAGCAAAGATGGTGAGATCGGCGATCGTTTTCTCCAACAAGGGGCCGCCTTCATGAGAAAAGGAACCAAACTGGACTGGAAGAACAACTTCACGGTGGCCCAGAATGAGACGTTCAACAAGATCTTTGAGGAGAAAATGGCGGGCTCCAAGCTAGCCGATCTTGTGCGTCCATATTTGTAAGCTTACGATTATCTTGAATTTCCATGTGCATATTTCACTTCATTCAACATAGAGATTTCAGTAGTATATTCATATTATTTCGCATCTCTGTCCTGTCATTGACTTTTCTGTCTCTAAATTCTAAATAAACCTTACGTGTTTCTTTGTATTCGATATAAATAATAATATTATATTTTTCGTCATTAATTTCTAAAGTATTAAACAATATTGTTGATAATGATGAATGTACTGCTTGTGATGAGGATGGTTTGGTGGTGTTAACTGTTAGTGGTGCTGGTGGAGGTAGTGCTGCATGGTGGTGGTCGAGGTGGTGGTCGTGGTGGTGTTGCTGCTGCTACTACTTTTGCTGCTGCTCCTGCTGCTGCTG